CCCCCCACTACCATGGTAAAGGAGAGGTACAGGTTAATCCCCCCCCCACTACCATGGTAAAGGAGAGGCACAGATTAACCCCCCCCCACTACCATGGTAAAGGAGAGGCACAGGTTAACCCCACCACCACCACTACCATGGTAAAGGAGAGGCACAGGTTAACACCCCCACCACCACCACTACCATGGTAAAGGAGAGGCACAGGTTAACCCCCCCCCCACTACCATGGTAAAGGAGAGGCACAAGTTAACCTCCCCCCACCACTACCATGGTAAAGGAGAGGCACAGGTTAAACCGCCACCACCATGGTAAAGGAGAGGCACAGGTTAACCCCCCAACAATGTAAGTGGGGAGGCACAGATTAGAGCCCCCACCATTGAAAATGAAAGGCACAGACTAGTGCCCTCCACTGGGAACAATCACATACTAAATCCTCTTCTCCAAGTGAAAATCGAGTCACCCTTCTCCCTTCACCCCCCTGTAAAAGGAAAATGAGCGCTAGTTAGTCACATTCGACCCCCAAGAAAAAGGGAAGAGACGAACTTAGTCCAGAAACCCACCCATGGGAAAAAAGAAGAGTCTGGTTAACGTGCTTACAGCAAATAAAACAAGCACACTCTAACAAGTAGGCTGCTCAGAGGAGGCTCAGGCTAGCCCTGCCCAAAAACAGGTTGATCAGGGAAAGCAGGGACTCACCACTGTCCCCTCAGAGTCTAGCATGGCACCTGCACACAGAGCCCCACAATGAGCTTCCATGCAGAGGGCGTGGAAAGTAGGAGCGCAGACGAGCCCCTCTCAAAATGTATACACACACCCACACAAGAAGGGGAGAAGAACAGGCCAGGCCCTCCCTTCAGACCTTCCTGAGATACCCTACCCTTCTGCCCACTCATGGGACGTGGTCTCCCATTGCTCCCCATCACTGGTCATTGGGTGGTCTCTGTGGAGCTGGATGTTTGTCCACACCACTGCCTTGACCTGCACATGTAGCCTCCACTTTAAACAAGAAATCCACCGGATGCCACATTGTTAACCCAGACACCCCTGGGGAACCCTGCTGAACTATTGGGCCCAGACGGGAGCTGGCAAAGAACTAATGGAGTAGAGCAGACAGGAGCTCTTGCACTTCTTGTCGGACTTATAAGAGTAATAATAGTTAAAAAAAAAAAAAGTTAATTTCTAAGAGCTAGGTGGCACAACCTAATGGTGGTTCTAACCCACCCAATAGTAGCACCACCGGAGAAAGACCAATTAATGAAAACCAGACCCATTGCGGTCAAGTCATTTCCAACTCAGAGCAACCTACAAGACAGAGCAGAATTCCATCGGGTCTTCAAGGCAGTAAATCTTTCCAGAAGCATCCTGCTTCAGCTTTTTTCTGTTGAGCAGCTGGTGGGTTAGCAGCCCAACACTGAAATCACTGTGCCACCGATACTTTATAAACGAGGAAACTGAGGCACAGAGAGGTTTTTTTGTTAAGGAATTAGCTCAGATCAAGATCTGAATTTAGTCAGCAGGTCTCTGACCGCAGCGTTGGAGGACTTGGGACATGCTGAAGCCCTCAGCCAGCAGCACTGCCAGTCTTCTGAGGGGGTGGCTCTGCCCCTCTGATGAATGGACAGCAATAAGAGGAGGCATAGCCACGGGGAGGGTCTGATGATGAACCTCCCCTCCCCTGACAGCTTCTTCCCTTCTGGAAACCCCTGCCATCAAGTGAGCTGAGCGGGTGGAGAGGGGACACATACACAGAGAAGACAGTGGGCAGGCAGACAGAGATAAAGAAACACTGGAAGCATGGAGGGAGTCAGGAAGGTTCAGTGGAGGACCTGGGTCACTGCTTCAGCCCGCCTGGAAGGTGGGGCAGCTCCGGGGCATGGCCAGGGGAGCAGGGTACGATTGCCTGTGACTGGGTGGTTAACAGTACAGGCCTGTGCTCAGCCTTTCAGAAGAAGCTGGAGCCAGCCTACCAGGTGAGCAAGGGCCACAAGATCCGGCTGGCTGTGGAACTGGCGGACCCTGACGCTGAGGTCAAGTGGCTTAAGAATGGACAAGAGATCCAGATGAGTGGCAGGTGGGTCCAAGGGCAGGGGGGATAGAGGAAGGGGCTCCAGGGGAGAGGCTGAACCTCACAGTCTTGCTCAACTTTTGTCTCTCCACACATGTGTGTCTGTCTGTTTCTCTCTCTTGTCCCCATCTCGCTCTCTCTCCCCATTTCTGTGTGTGTCTAAGGGACTCCTTTCTGTTTTGATCTGTCTCTACTCCTTTCTTATTTCCTGGTCTCTGTCTCTTGGTCTCACTTCCTTCCATCTGGAACATTCCAATGACTCCTTCTCTTCCACAGCAAGTAAGTCCTGGTTCCTGGAAGGCTGGACTGGGAGGTGTGGGGGGATCCAGATGGGGGAGGAGGTTCGATGGGGGTGCCCTGGGCCCAAAAGGTGAACTCATGCTTCTCCAGTCACCCCCCTGCTCCTGTGGTCCTATCAGGTACATCTTCGAGTCCATAGGTAACAAGCGCACACTGACCATCAGTCAGTGCTCTCTGGCGGACGACGCGGCCTACCAGTGTGTGGTGGGTGGTGAGAAGTGCAGCACAGAGCTGTTTGTCAAAGGTGAGGTCTGGGACCCAGGGCAGGGAGGCTCAGCCAGGAGCTGGGCCCAACCAGTCCTCCTGCCTCCACAGAGCCCCCGGTCCTGATCACACGCCCCCTGGAGGACCAGCTGGTGATGGTGGGACAGCGGGTAGAGTTTGAGTGTGAGGTGTCTGAAGAGGGGGCCCAGGTCAAGTGGTGAGTGCCAGAGGCCTGGGCATGGGCAGGCTGTGTACCTTGGGGGTAGGGGGGTTGCCTACAGAGGATGCCAGCATATGCTGCCCTCACCCGGCCAGGCTGAAGGATGGGGTGGAGCTGACCCGAGAGGAGACCTTCAAATACCGGTTCAAGAAGGACGGGCAGAGGCATCACCTGATCATTAACGAGGCGACTCTGGAAGATGCTGGGCATTACGCACTGCACACCAGCGGAGGCCAGGCGCTGGCTGAGCTCATTGTACAGGGTGAGGCTCAGGGACACGGGTTCCAGGCCACTCACCCTCCCATGGACAGCTGGTCGAGTCCCATACACAGCAACGCCATAGGACGTTACAGAACATCTTTACAGGACCAGGCAGTCTCATCTTTCTTCCACGGCACAGCTGGTGGGTTTGAACTAGCATTAAGTGGGCAGCCTTAAAGGATAGAACTGCATTTGCTCCCAGTTCAGGAGGCTGCAAGTGTGGATTCTGACTGCAGGCTCTGGAGAAGGCTCTGTGTGTGGGCTCTGGGGAAGGTCCTGGTCAGGCTCAGCATCGGCAGTCCTCTTTCGCTGGTGAAACCCTGTGGTAGCTGTCTCCCTCCACTTAGACACCGGCTCTGGTGTCTAATCTGCTCTTTTTATTACTCAGGTGTGATGAGGTTTAGGACACACCCTACATTGACCTGGTCTCATTAACACAACAAACAAAACCCTACTCTGAAATGCTATAGGATTCCAGCACATGTTTTGGGGGGAATACAATACAATCCATCACTGTCAAATCACATACAGGGGTGAGGCAAACCCAGGTTCAAGGGTTTGACATTGGACAAGTCACTTGGCCACCCTGAGCCTCACCTCAGGGCTTGTTATTATTAAGTGCTATAGAGTCGGTTCCGACCCATAGCGAGGACCTTGTATAGGGTTTCTAAGTAGCAGTTGGTGAGTTTGAACCAGCAACCTTGCAGTTTAAATGACTTTGCAGTGTGATGCATTAGCCCACAGTGCCACACCAGGACTCCCAACTAAGGGCTTGCTGAGGCAAAAACCCCAGAGGGTGAGGAGAGGGGCCCCCTACAGACTCAAGATTCCTTATACACATTGCACCATCACCACACGCACACACACACACATGAACACACTCAGCGCCCATGACCCACGCGTTCTCCACAGGGATTCACACCCACCCACACCCACACACCCTCCCCAGCTCACTGGCAGTGTCCTGCCCCTAGAGAAGAAGTTGGAAGTGTACCAAAGCATCGCAGACTTGACAGTGGGTGCAAAGGACCAGGCCGTGTTCAAGTGTGAGGTGTCAGATGAGAATGTGCGGGGCGTGTGGCTGAAGAACGGGAAGGAGCTAGTGCCCGACAGTCGTATCAAGGTGTCCCACATCGGTCGGTGAGTGTGGGGGCGTCGGTGGGCACAAATGAGGGCAGGCAGGTGGGACAGATGGAGACTGACATAGAGGGAGAAGGGAGGAACAGACAGGAACAGAGACAGAGACACACAGATGGACACAGAGATGCAAATAGAGGGAGAAACAAAGGAACAGAGATGGATAGAGAGGCAGACACTCAGAGACAGACTGCCAGACAGAGGTGGAGACAGAGATGGACAGAGAAAGGCAGACACTCAAAGGCTGAGATACACAGACAGATGGACAGAGAGAGAAATGGAAAGAGAGGGAGGAGGGAGACACTGGGAAACAAGGACAGGATACACAGAGACTGAGATCAACAAATAGATGGCCAGAGGACAGGGAGGAGCAAGACCAGGGTAGACATGCAGGGTGAAGAGAGAGGCAGGCAGATGCAGACTGAGATAAAAGAGATGGAGACAGAAAGATATGGGAGACAAAAGCACACAGAGGAAGTAAGAGTTCATTTGAGATGGAGACAGAGAGCAGTGTGAGGTGGACAGATGGGTCTCCCTGCTCATGACCAGGGCAGGGGAGGCTCCGGAGGTGGCCAGCTCTGGGCAGAGGTCGGCTCTCCCTCCCACTCTCTTACTCATCTCCTGAGCATCTGGGCACCCCGTGCTGGGCCTGAGTTCACAGAGATTAATGAGGCCCAGCCCTTGCCCAGTGTCCACGTGCCCAGCCAAGGGAACACATTGGTGGAGAAATCCCTTCTACACTGCCCCCCTCTGAAAACATGTGAGGGAGAAATACTAAATAGAGAAAAAAGCATTTTTAAGCCCAGAACACAGAGGAGCTTGGAGGGAGAGTGAGAGCCCTCTGGAACCCCTGCTAGGGTATGTGGGCCATAGCCCCTCTAAAGCCACACGGCCCCACAGGGTCCACAAGTTGACCATTGACGACGTCACGCCTCCAGACGAAGCTGACTACAGTTTTGTGCCCGAGGGCTTTGCCTGTAACCTGTCAGCCAAGCTCCACTTCATGGGTGAGCCATACTGGGGTGGGCAGGGGGCGCATGGGGTGGCAATGCCAGGAGCCCCTTGCTGGGTCCTACTGTGCCCCCATGACACTTGCTCTTCTTCTCTTGCAGAGGTCAAGATTGACTTCGTGCCCAGGCAGGGTGAGTCTCAGGCTCCCTGTGTGTCACTGGCTCTCCCCACTTCCCTGCACCCCATTTCATCCATGTCTCCCCCACCCCCACTTACAAGCAGAGGAAAGAACAAGGATCTGGGTGTCGGGGTTCTGAGGTCCAGCCCCAACTCTGACACTCACCGGACCACGGACCACCTATAAGTCCTTTGAACCTCAGTTTCCCCATCTGGGTCTCCTCACAGTTCCATTCAGTGGTAGAACTCTCGTCGCCATGGGGACTCGGGTTTGATTCTCAGCAAGTACGCCTCATGTGCTGTCTGTCAGTGGAGGTTTGTGTATCGCTATGATGCTGAAAGGAGTCCTAGTGTAGTGCTGTAGGATAAGCACTGGACTGCTAACCGCAAGGTCGACAGCTCAAACCCACCAGCTGCAATGATGCTGAGTTGGAATTGACTTAACATTTAAGTTGGATGGCACTTAACAACAACAACCAACAATCTCTCACCATGTCTGCTGGTGGATCTGAACAGCCAGCCTTACGGTTAGTAGTCCAGTGCTTACCCTACAGCACCACACCAAGACTCTGAAATATGTTTGTTGGTAAGTGTCAAGTCAGTTTCGACTCATAGAAATCCTGCACAGGGTTTCTGAGGAGTGGCTGGTGAGTTGGAACTGCCAACCTTGTGGTTCAAACTGATCTTGTGGTCCAGTGCTTATCCTACAACACCACACCAGGACCCCCCGAAATATGTTTGTTGTTGTTAAGTACCGTCTAGTCAGATCCAACTTACAATGACCCTGTATAGGGTTTCCAAGGAGCAGCTGGAGTTGAACAACCGACCTTGTAGTTCACAGTCCAGTGATGATTCTTTAAAGAAACTGTAAATTCTTGATCCACCTCTTGGCCATTCATTCAGAAAGCACATTAGCATATTAAAGGCTCTGAAAAGCTCTTCAGTAAAGAACTGTACTTAACCAGGGTTCCTTATGGGGGTGGTGGTGCATGTGTCAGAACTCCTCAAGCTGTTTGTACACATCTGTGCCCTTATTTATACCTCCCTAAAAGGAGCTCTGGTAGCGTAGTGGTTACGAATCGGGCTGCGAACCTTAAGGTCAGCGGTTCAAAACTACCAGCCGCTCCGCGGGAGAAAGATGAGGCTTTCTACTCCCGTAAAGATTTACACCCTTGGAAACCCTGTACAGGGTCGCTATGGGTCGGACCCGACTCAATGGCACTTAACAACAACAACAAAAATGGAGAGCAAAGCCAACAGCCAGGGACACAGGCTTAGTTCCCGATCTGTCCAATAACCTGTGTTCCTTCCAAATGCCCTCTTTCACAGACCTTTCTCTGACCTATGTTGTCTCTTCCTCAGAACCCCCCAAGATCCACCTGGACTGCCCAGGCCGTATGCCAGATACCATCATTGTTGTGGCTGGGAACAAGCTTCGTCTGGATGTACCTATCTCTGGGGACCCTGCTCCCACTGTGATCTGGCAGAAGACCACACAGGTACTGTGGATTCCTCCTCTATTTTCCCATCTGTAAAATGGGCCCAAGGGACCAGAGGAGTTCTGGGGCTTGCTCCATATTCCACATGTCCTTCGAGCCTTAGAGGTGAGCAGCTGGTGGCAGGTGGCAAGACAGAGGGCCAAGGAGGGTGAGGGGCTGCTAGGCAGGGATTTCCTCCAGGTTGTGTCAGCCCCTCTCTTCCCCTGCTGCTTTCAGGAGAGTAAAGTCCCAGCAGGACCGGAGGAGGCAGGGGCCGATGAAGAGTGGGTGTTCGACAAGAAGGTGAGGCTGAAGTGGGGATGTGCTCACCTGTCCTTCCTTGCCTGCCCTTCAGATCCCACCCTCAGGTGAAGTCTCCATGAAACTGGTCATACCTGACAGCGGCTTCAGTGAGGGGAGGCAGATGCCAGGTTCTTCAGGAGACTGATGCCCTTGCCATTGCCAGGAAGCGGGCCATGACTTGGTGCCCCTTTAGCGGGCTTTCAGAGCCCTCTTAGTGAGTGCAGCTGCCCAGGGCCTGCCCACAGCTCTGCTTTCCTCCTCCATGGCCGTTCATCCTGCTGGAGGCCTGCCCACCTGAGATCTTTCTGGGTCCTCACAACAGCCCTGTGAGGTTGTGTCCTTCCCATTTGACAGATGCGGAAACTGAGGCACAGAAAGTTCCATGACAAAGCTAGAGTCTGAAATCCTTACTTTGGCACCTTGCATATCCCCACTGCCATCATGTCGATTTTAACTCATAGTGACTCTTTAGGTGATTGGCTTGAACGTTCAGCCCATAGAACCACCAGGGCTCCTTGCCTTTCATATACAAAACCAATAAAATTGGTTTTGCTTAAAGTAAGCCCATATAAGGTTTCTGAAACTAAGGTTTACGGGAGAAGAGAACCTCATGTTTCTCCCACGGAGCAGCGGCTGGGTTTGAACCACTGACCTAGTGGTTGGCAGTCCTGTGCTGATCCCAAATGGTTGTGAGCCTGTTCTGTTTGGGCTGTGTTGTCCCCTCCCTGGAGCCTGGGGCTGACAGAGGCTGTGAGGGTCTCTGAGGTCAGGCTGGAGCTCTGTCTCCCCAGCTCCCCACTTCTCCCCTCAGGTGCTGTGTGAGACTGAGGGCCGTGTCCGAGTGGAGACCACCAAGGACCGCAGCATCTTCACCCTCGAAGGAGCCGAGAAGGAAGACGAGGGTGTCTATGTTGTCACAGTGAAGAACCCTGTGGGCGAGGACCAGGTCAACCTCACCGTCAAGGTCATCGGTGAGGCCAGCCAGGGAGGATGGTGGGGGACAACCCCAGGGAGACTGGTTACCCATTCACTCATGTTGTCGTTCAACCACTATCTCAGGGCACCGCTCTGAGCCGGGCAGAGACAGGACAGGGTTGTCTGCTCTGAAGGAAAGTGGCCTAGGGGGAGGCAGAGGCAGAGGCAGAAACATCTAGCACACGCGTTAAAGCTTCTGGATGAGAGAGGTATGTCCAGAGTGTGCTGGGAGCTCTGAGCACACAGCAATCTCTGGTCCTGGGGTACGGATGAGGATAGGAAGGAGCCCAGGTAGGGGAGACTTCATGTGCAAAGGTGTGGAGGTGAGGCTGGAGATTGGGGTGTGCAGAAGGATGAATGTTTGCAAGAAGCTATCCAGGTGAGGAGGAAGAGTGGTGAGGATCGGGGCTGGGGGAGGGGGTGACTGGGGCAGTGAATAAGGGGCCACAGGGGGTTGATAAGGACCCAGGTAACTCAGTGGTTAAGCACTTGGCTGCTAATCAAGAGGCTGACGGTTCAAATCCACCTATGACTCTGGGAGAAAGCTCTGGTGAGTACAGCCTTGGAAACCCTATGGAGCAGTTCTACTCTGTCCCCTGGGGCTGCGATGAGTCGCCATGATACTTAACAACAAGGCTGGATTGCAGGCTGGGGCTGGTCTCAGAACTGCATTCTAGAAAGATCACTTGGACTCTGGGGTGGTGGGGTGCGGCAAGGCCTGGCAGGACTGATTTGGATCTTCCTCCCCAGACGTGCCCGATGCCCCTGCCGCCCCCAAGATCAGTAATGTGGGCGAGGACTCCTGCACCGTGCAGTGGGAGCCACCTGCCTACGACGGTGGGCAGCCTGTCTTGGGTGAGTTTCAGGGCACGGAGGGCAGAACCCAGAGCAGTGGGCTGGGGGGGTGCCAGGACCCCAGACCAGAGTGTCTGCCTCCACTCCACCAGGCTACATCCTGGAACGCAAGAAGAAGAAGAGTTACCGGTGGATGCGGCTGAACTTTGACCTGCTGCGGGATTTGACGCACGAGGCCCGGCGCATGATCGAAGGCGTGGTGTACGAGATGCGGGTCTACGCTGTCAATGCTATTGGCATGTCCAGACCCAGCCCCGCCTCCAAGCCCTTCATGCCCATTGGTGAGGTGGCCCTGCCTGGCACTGCACTCCCGCCCCTCCAATCAAGGGGCCCCTACTGCTGCTCTGTGGGTGGCCACCACATACACCTGTTAATCAAGCTCCAGCTGAGGTACATACATCCTCAGTAGGCCTAGGAGGACACTGAAGCTCAGAGAAGTTAATGACTTGCTGAAGGCCTACTCAGCTATAGGTGTGGAGTGAGCCCCATACCATTCTGACCCCTGGTTGACTCCCTTCAAACCTTTTGAGCCTCACTTTACACATCTACAAAATGGGGACAATGACAGAATCTACCTCATAGAGTTAATAGGATGAAAAGCCATACTGCAGGCAGAGCAGCTGGCATACAGCAAGTGCTCAATAAATGCTAACAGTCCCGTTCTTCCTCTCCTTTCAACCCAGGGTTTGGTAAATATGGGCTGGGGCAAGGGCGGTAGGTGCCTGAGATATCTGAGGGGCTTTTCTGGACAGGAATGGAGTCTACTTTGCAGAGTTGACCCCTTGGTTCCTCAGCAGGGCCATTTGGAGTCATTGACTCTCCCTGGAGACTTGTGTGATGGGTTGGGAGGGTGGAGTAGACACTAAGGGTGGAGCTGGGCTCCGGAGGACACCTATCCCCACTCAGGGGTTGTGAGGCTTGGAGCAGGGGAACAGGCTGTACCCGTGGGGTCCCTTTTTAGGGACCTAATTCTGGTTTGCTCAGCCCTTTGTCAATTCCCCGAGGCATACAGTATGTTGTTGTTTTTGATAATCACATTTACAGCATTTCTTATACCAAGAGGTGGTTCCTTCTAAGCAAGGGTCTGTCCTCTTTGGCGTCTTTTGCTGTTTAAATTGTTAACACTGCCACCGAGTTGATTCTGACTCAGAGTGACCCTTTAAGACAGAATAGAGTTCTCTTAAATCTCGTAAATGGCCTCATCTTTGTTCTGTAGAACCGATGGTAGGTTTAAATTGCCAACTTTTCAGTTAGCAGCCCATTGCTTAACCCACAGCACCAACAAGGCTCCTTTGTTGTTGTTGGTTGTTATTGTTCAGTGCCATCGAGTAAGTTCCAACCCATAGCAACCCTGTATACCAGTTCTGAGGAACAACTGGTGAGCTTGAACTGACGACCTTGTGGTTCAAACCAACCTTGCAGTCTAGCACATTCACCACAATGCCACACCAGGACTCCCTTTTGGTTGTTTAGATTCCTTTTTTTGTGGGTTAGGCATTGGGCTGCTAACCTCAAGGTTACCAGTTCAAACCCACTAGCCACTCCTAAGGACAGAGATGAGCCAGTCTGCTCCCATAAAGATTTAGTCTCCAAAATCCAATCTAGAATCTAGAGTTGTTATGAGTTGGAATCAACTTGATGCCAGTGGCTTTTTGGTTTTGTTTTGTTTTTTGTAATTGTCTGTGATACTGTGTTTTTTTTTTTTAAACTAATCTAGAGACATACCTTTTAATGGTAATATTCCTTAAAGTAGTTGAAGGCCAGCTGAAGGGAAGTCCCCGTGGTGACCAGTGGGCGGTTGAGGGTCATGGGGTTCCAGGCTCCCCGGCTTGTGCAGGCGCCCACAGCCCCTCTCTGGTCTCCTCCCCTCTGCCCAGCCCCACCCAGCGAGCCCACCCACCTGGCTGTGGAGGACATCTCTGATACCACGGTCTCCCTCAAGTGGCGGCCCCCAGAGCGCGTGGGAGCGGGAGGCCTGGATGGCTACAGTGTGGAATACTGCCAGGAGGGCTGTGAGTACACGTAGGCCGGACAGCTGCCACCCTGCTGGGCACCCATCCTCAGCAGAGAGCCCAATCAGCCCTCAGAGGGTGGGCCTTGAGGCAGTGTGTTGGTGCTGACTGTCTCCCCACTTCCTCCAGGCTCAGAGTGGGTGGTTGCCCAGCAGGGGCTGACCGAGCGCACATCCATGCTGGTGAAGGACCTGCCCACTGGGGCAAGGCTGTTCTTCCGTGTGCGGGCTCACAATGTGGCTGGGCCTGGGGGCCCCATCACCACCAAGGAGCCTGTGACCGTGCAGGAGATACTCCGTGAGTGCCCGTGGATGTTGGCCTTCCTTATTTGTTTGTCCTCCTTGCCCCTGTGGCTGAGACCCAAGCCTTTGCGTGGAGGGGACCCCACCAGAGGAAGGGTCTGAGTGCTGGGCGGGACAGGAGTGGCTGGAACTGCATCCACACCCACGCTCTAGGTCTGTCACTGCCCTGGTTTTAGACCCCGGGAAAGGAAGGTCATTACAACATCTCCTCAAAGTTCTCAATAGGCAAGTACTGCCTGTGTCATCAGGGCTGGGAAGTGTTACTGAGGAGAACACTTGTATTACGTGAAACCAAGCAGTTCTAGGCAGCACAGCTACAAACACCTTTTTATAGGGCTAAATCGGGACTTTTGGATTACAATTTTCAGATCGGAGAAGTAAGAGGCAGGCATCTCAAAGGAGGGCTTTTGCTAGGATTGGTTTTCAGAGTCTAGTAAATTGCAAGGTTTCATTACCTTACAGGATTGCAAATGTCTGTGTTTTTTAGGGGGCTTCTGGGTAGTCATCAGAATGTCACAAAATGTCTTTCCCAAGTCAAATGATATTAAGATGTCCCCTTAGGCACACCCTGCTGACATCCGCTTGCACAGGAAATTACTGATAAGGATCTTTTATCAATACCCTCTTTAAAGACATATTCTTTCTACATCTGTGCCTGACCACACACACACAAAAAAGCATTTCTTTAACTGTGTGGTTAAGTTTGTTTAAAGGTCAGTAAGCACTAGGGCCAGGGGTGGATTACCCAATAGCAATGTAAACATGGGCTTATTTGTGCTTACTTGCTAATCTGTAGTGAACAATTTCAAATGGGTTTCACCAGGTCATGTGGTAGAAAGCATGTAAAATTGCAGATTAGTAAGTAAGTGAAAGTAAGCCCATGCTTGCTTACTGGGTACACTGTTAGGGGCTTTAAGTTTGAAATGAAGTTTGATTCTGTAGTAAGGTGTTCTGCGGTTGGGAAAGAGACAGGGGTCAGTGTAGACGCAGAATCTTTTGATGTGGTGAGAAAATGTGAAATTGTTCACTACAGATTAGTAATCACAAATAAAGCCACATTTACCTTGCTTGTTGGGTAATCTGACACTGATTTGGAAAGTAATTTAAAGAATTTAAAATGGAGTCCGAACTGAAGTCAAGACCAGGGGTTCAGCTGCAGACCCAAACCCAAACCCAATCAGACCCATGCCATTGAGTTGGTTTTGACTCATATTGACCCTGTATAGGGTTTCTGAGACTATAAAGCTTTATGGGAGCAGGCAGCCTCCTCTTCTTCCTGCAGAGTGGCTGGTAGGTTTGAACCACCAACCTTGCAATTAGCAGCCTAACAGCTAACCCACAAACAAGTGGCTCGTAATTTAGGCTCACACACAACAGTGAGGGAATTTGGGGTCATGCTAGCCTATCTGGGAGCAGTTTCCCATTTCTCCATTCCTCATCCCAACAAAAGATGGATTGTGTAAGGGCTGATTCTGAAAGTTGGAGGCAGACAGCCAGCTGGGATGGAAGGACCATGAGATAGAGAATCTGAAAGCCTCGACTGGCATCCTGGCTGACACTAGCTGTGTGATCTCAAACAAGTTGCTTACCCTCTCTGATCCCTTTCTCTTGCAACAGTGTGGTGAGGCTCAGGTAGGCCTTTTGGGACTTGAGATCCTGTGGATTGTTGCTGTTGTTAAAAGTACCTTTGAATTGGTTCCAACTAATAGCAACCCTATGTAAGGGTTTCCCTATGTAAGGGTTTCCCTATGTAGACTATAAATCTTTCTCTTGAAGAGTGGCTGCAGGCTCGAACCACCAACCTTGTGGTTTGCAGTTCAATGCTTATCCTGCAGAGCCACTGAACCTTCCCTGCTAAAGATTGTTTTTGTTGATGTTGTTAAATGCTGTTGAGTTGGTTCTGACTCATAATGACCCTGTATAGGGTTTCTGAGGAGCAGCTTGGTGGGTCTGAACCGCTGACATAGTTAGTAATCCAACACTACTCCTACAGCGCCACACCAGGAGTTAGAAAAGGGCCAGACAGCTTTTGTCTCAACTGCAGCCCTCTGGGCACTGCCTCAAGAGAGAACAGACGGGCTGTGGCAGCCCTCGCTGAGCCACCCACCCTATACCCACAGAGCGGCCACGGATCCAGTTACCCAGGCATCTGCGTCAGACCATCCAGAGAAAAGTCGGGGAGCCAGTGAACCTGCTCATTCCTTTCCAGGTATGCAGGCCCCTTCCTTGTCCACACTGCGTGCAGGGATCTCAGAGACAGCTGGGCTCAGGTTTGAGCTGTCCATCTCCCAGGGCAAGCCCCGGCCTCTGGTCACCTGGACCAAAGACGGGCAACCGCTGGCCAGCGAGGAGGTGAGCATTCGCAACAGCCCCACGGACACCATCCTGTTCATCCGGGCCGCCCGCCGAGCACATTCGGGCACCTACCAGGTGATGGTGCGCATCGAGAACATGGAGGACAAGGCCACGCTGGTGCTGCAGATCGTGGGTGCGTGGCCCTGCACCTCCGACCCTGCTTGGAGCTTCCGAGCACCGCCCTGAGCCCTCCTCTCTGCCCTGCACGCGAGGGCGCCGGAGGGCTCTTACTCAGCCAGGGTCTTGCCCCGCAGACAAGCCGAGTCCTCCCCAGGACATCCGGGTCACGGAGGCATGGGGCTTCAATGTGGCTCTGGAGTGGAAGCCACCCAAAGATGATGGCAACACGGAGATCTGGGGTTACACGGTGCAGAAAGCCGACAAGAAGACCATGGTGAGTCTCGGTAGACCCCGCCCTGCTGATCCCGTCCACAGCGGGAGGAGTGGGCTCGCACTGACCCTCGCCCGCCCGCGCCCAGGAGTGGTTCACGGTCCTGGAGCACTACCGCCGCACTCACTGCGTGGTGTCCGAGCTCATCATCGGCAATGGCTACTACTTCCGGGTCATCAGCCACAACATGGTGGGGCCCAGTGACACAGCCGCCACCACCAAGGAACCGGTCTTCATCCCCAGACCAGGTGCTGTACCTCCTCTCCCGCCCAGGGGGTGGCAGGCAGGTGGCCTCACGTGCTGTGGCCCTCATGGCTCAAAGCCGTATCACTGACAGGTATCACGTACCAGCCACCCATCTACAAGGCCCTGGACTTCTCCGAGGCCCCAAGCTTCACCCGCCCCCTGGTGAACCGCTCTGTCATCGCTGGCTACAACGCTGTCCTCTGCTGTGCTGTCCGGGGTAGCCCCAAGGTGGGTATCAGGGCTGTGGCACTTGCTGTTCATTCCAGCCTGGGGACACAGTTTGGGAAGCCAGTGGGAGTCGCAGCGGATACACAGTGCCAGTCTCCCTAGGGCCCTTCCAGGCTCCTTGCAGCCTGAGGTGGTGTCGCCTCCTTTATCTGATTCGTAGCCCAAGATATCTTGGCTCAAGAATGGCCTGGACCTGGGCGAGGACGCCCGCTTCCGCATGTTCTGCAAGCAAGGCGTGTTGACCCTGGAGATCCGCAAGCCCTGTCCCTTTGATGGAGGTGTCTACGTCTGCAGAGCCACCAACTTACAAGGCGAGGCACAGTGTGAGTGCCGCCTGGAGGTGCGAGGTGAGGAAGCCCTGGGCCCCGGCCTTGAGAGGGTAAGCAGGGCACCCGCCGGACTCTGGCCTTCTGCTTTGCGGACCCGGTGGTTCAACTGCCGGGGTTGACTGGTGAGCTCGCTGCCTGCCCAAGTTGGGAGGACACACGTGTCATGACCCCCTTCTCTCCTGCAGTGCCCCAGTGATCAGGCTGGCTCCTTGCCCAGTGATGGCTAGGTATGTACTCCACACCACCCTGGCACCAGGGCCCAAATCAGAGGCTGAGCCAGGGCCGTGGGTCCAAAGACAGCCACCAGGAAATGGGGTGGGGCATGGTGTGTGTGGTGGTGCAGGTGGCTCTTGGAGAGAAATTTTGGACCATGTCACTTATGAGGGAACCTCTATCACAGGTGCTACTAAATGCCAGCCCTATATGCCTGGAGCCTGGAGCCTAAAAGCTAGAAAACCCACCGTTCTTGCTGCTGGGGACATGCAAGTGTGTATCTGGGGGCTTGGGTAGGGGCTGTAGGGCACTCGGGGACCTGACAGTCTAAACTCTGATGCTCTCAGATCTTTGGGGCAGTAAGTGGGTGGGCGCAGGAAGTGACAGTTGGAGACAGGGCCCATGTGGCCTGCCACTTTGTCTCAACACACGTGTTAAGGGCAATAAAGGATCCGTGTACTCTGTGGTCCCAGCCTTCATCATTCCCCGGAGAACTGACTCTTCCATCCAATGTGCGTATTTTCACAAAAGCACAGGAAAATCCATCTGATCTTTACATCCAATGGGGGGCAGGCATTCTGTTTCCCAGGAGTTCTACCATGTTCAGGTTGGATACTCAGAAGGAACCTCCATCTTCCCCAAGTGCATACACACTTCAAATGAGAAAACTGAGGAAAGTCTTAGCAACAGAGTCAAGAACTCAAGGCTTTTCTGTGGAGTCCCACAGCCTGCAATTAAGCGGCCTTGAAGGACTGGGGGGTGGGGGATCCATGTGAGCAATAAGCCCACACTATGATGGGGGAGAGAGCTAGCCAGTCCAGCTCCAGAGACTGGGCAGCAGGGTCCTCGAGTCTTTCCTTCCCTCATGGACAGTCCCCACCCAGGCATCAGTTTTCTCCTGGGGAGAGGATGCCAGTAGGACTGAGAGGTACCCTGGGAGAGCTAGCAGACAGTCTTTCCTGCCCATCAATACCAGAGGGTCTCTCCATGACAGAAAAAAATTCCATGAAGATCAGTCTGCCCAACCCAAGGATTCTAGACACTTCCATCTAAGAGCCCAGGCCACACCACCTGTGTCCCACAGCTGTAGATGCACCGGGGAGTGCCTGGCCCGTGGTTTTTCTTCATTGCCAAGTTCATCCAGGTCTCTGGTGCCAGTGCCCCTCTAGGGGCCAATTCATAGCATACCAGACCTTTGTGGGGCCCCAAGGTGCCACAAGGAAGGAAAGGTCCCTCTGAAGAAGTGTGGTGAAGGGCCTTGTTGGGCCAGAAGAGTGGGAAACGGGCTGGGGCTCCAGCAGGCCAGAGCTTGGATGTGGAGAGTAATCTCTCTTTCCCTCCAGCTGACGGTACTGTTTTAGTGTCCAGGGACAGCTTTTCTCAGGCCAGCACTAGAGGAGCATCATGTAACACAAGGCAGTCAGGAGCCAAGGGGGGGCGGGGAATGGACATTTATTTCACATTCACACAGCTGTACATTTTCTATAAATAATGTGGAGCGGAAATATTTACAATCTTCTCTTGCAGTCTCTCCCTTCCAGCCCCAGTGCAAACAGAGGTGGGAGCGTGGCTCTGGCCTCCCCACTCCTCCCCCTGGTCCTTGGGCCCAGCAGCCAGCAGTCCCTGGGAGTCTACTAGCCCCGAGCACTCTGTTCTCTCCTGCTGGAGGCCAGGCTGACCACGGCAGATCACCACTCAGTACCACTCAATGCTGCTCTGTACCAGTGATGCATGTCATGGCGGGCTGGGGCCGCCAGCTTGGGGAATGCATAAGGGAAGTAGGGAGGCTGCCACTTAGGCCAGCTGCCCCGACTCTTCCCTCTTTTCCCCTGCCCACCTGGTCCGGAGGCCAGGCTCCAGTCTCCCTGACTCCCCACTGAGCTCTGGCATCCAGCTGGGCCAACTCTGCACCGGGGTTTATAATGCCAAGAACACAGACAAGAACACACAGCACAAATGTCTCAAGGACACACAATGGTGGGTTCACACTGGCCTACACTCAGAGTTCACTGACTGTTCTTTCTCCCTGGAAGAAGGTGGAAAAATTTAGCTTAGCCCTGTGATGGACTCACTCAAAGACACACTTAAGACATGGAGCTGAGAACCAGCTAAGCCCACGAGGGGCGCGCAGGGATACGTATCATCCACGTCTGGATCATACCAGCACTGGGAACAGTAAGAGGCAAGGGGCAGCCATATAACCCCTCTCTATCAGCTAGAGACAGGCCGGGGTGGAGTTCGGAGATCTTCCTCGCTGCTACGAACTGCAGCCACATACGAGAAGAGACACAACACAGAGTAGCAGATCTCTTGGGCCTAGAGGGGAGAGAAAGAGATCAACACTGCTGAGGCTGCCTACCTCTTCACAAGTGGAGGATCTGCCAAGTGGGAGACTCCTGCCCAAATACTGGGCATAGGCCTCTGGATGAAGTGGGAGTCCCAAGCCACACCTGCAAAGCTGCCCCCGGGGGCCAGGAGATGAGTGTATGTCTCTCTCCCAAGACTGACTGCTCATTGTGGCTTCAGCTGAACCTGTGCCATGTAGACCAGTTCAGCTCTCACTATTCCTGAATCCCGCTCACCCCTGTGCTTTCTGAGCCCCACCCCACTTGTCTGGAGGTGCCCCAGGAGACCTACGCAGACTGTGGCCAGTTGGGGCCTGTGGCAGACTCACCATTGGTGTCTTGTACTTGTGGCTCACCACTTCTTTAATTTCAGGAACTAAAACCGGACGGGCAAGAGACAAAACAGAAAGTTCACCACTAAGGGGGGGAGTGCCACGTTCCCCCAGGCGGCGGCGCCCGGCATCAGGGTCCCCTTCTCAGTGACTGTCACAGTGGTGGCAGCAGCTTGTCCTGTCCAAAGCCTGCTGGCTGAGGGGAAACTGCTCCCAATTCCTCAGCTAGACCTCTGAAGCCTGCAATGGCTCCCTACTCCAGGGCCACCATCCTACCCACTTCCTCAGCCCTGGGAAGGGGTGTCCGTATTTTGCTGCAAGAAGAGGATGTCTCTAGCCTGTGCCTCACCTTGCTGAGACGCTCATGAACTTAATCCCTGCCACCAGCCCGAAACTCTGGTCACTCCCAGCCCCCTGCACAGACGGTCCCGAGGTCGGCTGAGGCAGTCAAGTGACATGACACTAACCCCATTGGCTTGGGAGCTTCCTTCCCTGAGAGGCAGGAGCAGCCCAGGCCTGCCCGTGTGAGGGAGAGCGTCAGAGGGTTCTGGAGCAGAAGAGAGGTGAGGACAGCACCCAAGGAGGGAGGTGACAGGGAGCATCAGGCAAGATACACACAGGACAACAGCCCAGAATGCAAGACTGAACCACCTCTGCCCTAGCCATGCAGGGCTCTGCTTGGCCAGGGAAAGGAGGAAGGCCCGCAGGCTCAGGCATTATCCGAGCAGAAGGGCGTGGTGTCCCCTCTGGAGTGGGAAGGGAAGGAGAAAGAGAGTTGGCCACACCTTCTTCTGACCCTGGGAGGACCCAGGGCTCATAGGGAATAAATTCCTCAAAGGTCGAGCAAGAAGCCCCCATTTCTGCTCCTGAGTTGGAAGATCCCCCCGATCTCTCTCTGGCAGGGAGAGAGAGGAAGCATATGGGAGAAACTGAGGACCACTGAGCCAGAGCAGGGAGGAGGGTAGGGAAGGTGGAGGGTGGGGAGAAAAAGGAAGACAAACTGGCCATGTGAGCATCTGGTCTGGCTGGCAGGCCCCTGGCCCAGCCATGACAGGGCCCGAGGCAGGGGCCTGGGGAGAGGCAGCCGGCCGGCCGAGATCACTTTACCTGCTGGAGGAGGAAGGTTTTCATAGCAGCGATGAGGGGCACAAAAGAATGAAGCACAAACACAGCAGGAACTCAAAGCCCCAGGGTGGAACCCACACCTCCACTCCTTAGCGTGGGACATGGGGGGCTGCCCCCGCTTGCCTGAGACAGCTGACCCCCTGACTCTGAGACCCACTAGGTTCTCTTCTCTCTGAAGGGGTCTGCTGGTTCGTACCCCGCACCCCTCAGCAGGCGAGGCAGAGCTCTGGGCCGCTAGGGGGAGGGATCACAGCAGGCGACATGAACACAGCTGGGGGTGGGTGGCCAGTCTGCTCTGCCCCAGAACTTTCTGACCACTGGCGGCCCAAGCAAGGGAGGGTGGTGGAGGCTGCTGCGCCTTGCGTTGAGCACCACCTCAAACTCTCCACCTGGCTGAGGCTGGCTCTTCTGCAACCATCCTCCTTCCTCCTGCCTTCCCTTCTCCCTCATCTTCAGGTCCTCCCGGCTTCCTACGGCTCCTGCTCCTCCTGATCTCTCTACAGAGGATCTGCTCCCTGCCCTAGGCCCTCCTCTGGAGCTCCGAGGTTTGAGTTACTGCCATGTGAGTCCAGACCTAAGAGCAAAATAGTGTAATTACCAAATTCCTCCAGGACAAAGACGCCTCGGACTGTATTGCACTTTTTAATGTGATTCAGCTCTATGAAAACCTGTAAGAGAGGGAGGGGGGAAGGGGGGTAAGGCCCAGAGGCTCCACCCCTACCCACAGAGTCCGCTCTCCCAGCTATAGCCCCACCCACACGCAGAAAAGCTGGTCCCCAAAGGGAGGACAGAAGAATACACACACACACACCTACACACACACACACACACACACACACACACACACACACACACACACACGACTCAAAAGCGCTAGGAAGAGAAGATAGCAGAAAGGGCATGTACCTTCCGCTCCTGGCCGGAGGAGAAAGCATGGGAGAGAAACGAAGGCGTTAGTTTGAATGGTCAAACCCAACCCACAGGCCCGTCTGCTGGCCTGGGCTGCCCGCCCATACCCTCTGCCCAGGGCAGCACCTGTAGGAAACTGTGCCCACAGGTCCCCCATTCAGCCCATCAGGTCTCTACCCTTCCATGCATCCTCCTCCGGCGCAGAGGGCAGGCACGGGTGCAAAGCTTCCCTCAGACTGGCCTTTGGGTGGGAGGTGTTGGTATCTTCCTTGATACAGGATCCAGGATCTCCCAAGGAATGTG